CTCACGTAGAGAGGTACACCCAGTCATTCTCGGCATTATGTGATTTCCGAGTGTGGATTCACATATCTATATTTCAATAATTTTTTAAAAATATAACACTACTATATATGATCTCGGGAGGAGAGCATGAATTCACGTGAATCCGGTGACTCCCCTGGATACGCTTCTGAGTGATATAATATATACTCATATATCAAAATCAACATAATTAATAGATGTATAACTCTAATTTGTACTCAACCATAATTCTTGTGACCTTAGGGAATTGAGTGTAGACTTGAATAATCAATATAAGAATATTATGTCCTTTAATTTTCTGCCATTTGCTTTTAATATAAAGCTAGTGTAGTCAACTATATGTTTTAATAAATGTTCACAATTCATCTCACTGTCTTGTCATGTTTTCATTTTAAGTCAACCGAGCATCGTGACAGAATTAAATATTTAGATCGAATCATAATTCACACCGTTCATCCTAAATAAATAGGAGGCGTGGACCATAAGTTACACATAAATTGTTGGATCACATAACAGAAAAAACACACAATTATAAGATGCATGATACTCTTATAGGTGAAATATTCATCACCATAGGAGTTCGTTTACATTAGTCATGACCAATAAGTCGAGAGCGGAATAATATATAGATAGAAATAAAAAAATTAACAATGAAACGAAAAACGAAACCTTACGACAACAGACATAAATTTAATTTTGTGAACAAGTATTTTATTACGATATCCAACACTCCACTTCCTTGTGTTGGAATATTTTTTTATTTTTTTTAATAGATGATTTAAGAACAAAATCTTAAATATATAAGTATTATAGATGTCCTTTTAATGACAAAAATAAATACATTGAAGAATTTATCTAAGCAATATGAAGTTTTTGTAATATTTCTATAACATTAAAAAAAATATTGAGTATTGTAGAATGTCAACTATAGAGTAATTAAGCAATATTTTTACAACCAAAAGATGTGGTGCAGCGGATGGGGATGCTCCCATCCACTCTTCCCTTAACCAGAGGTCTTGAGTTCGAGTGCCGTGTATACGGAATAGTCGGGCTCCAATGCAGATACTGGACACCGATGAAAAACAAAATAAAGCAATATTTTTATTAAAGATAATTACAATTGAATATCTTTTTTCCATGATCTAGTTTACAAAATAGCTATTAAGTATAACTTTTGTAAACTTCAAGTATAAACATATATCTCATATACATCATCAATGTATATATTTTGACTAGCGTACGTAATTAAGTTTGGTTGACTTGTCAAAAATGAAAAAAACCTATTTCTTATCTACAAATTTTCCTTATATTTTATTTCTCATACTCGTAATATATAAATTTGTTTTTTAAAAAAATTATCATTAAACAAGTACAAAGAATTTGAACTCATTAAATAACAAAAAAAAAACAATCAGACGAGTTAGGATAGTTACTCGAACTCAAATTTATAAAATTCAAATTCTGAATTTGCCTTCGATCATAAATTTTATATCTTAACCTAAAAAAAGAACCTATTTAAATAAACTCATCCAAACCAACCTGAATGAAAACCAAGTGTTTTGTGATTAAGACTAATTGTGTTAATTAGTATACAAAGAATGGTTCATTTTTTCCTTAATTTTAAGTCCAAGTGTTAACAATTGAAAGAAGGTTGATTTTGATGGAATCATTTTTTAAAATTTTGTCTTTTTTGGACTTTTCTTCATCTGACTTGTTCCTTAAGAATTTGCCTATATTAGGATTACTCGTTAACAATAGTTTAAATAATATTACTCGTTAACAATAGTTTAAATTTAATAGATTTGCCCTTCTTATTATATACATATTTATATTATATTATAATATATGTACATGTCATAGCACGAGGAAAATTCACCCATACAACCATTGGAATGGATCAAATGATGATTAAGGTTTCAAAGATGCCAACCTTAGAGTCCGGCATGAAATTTGTTTTTCATTCGGTGTTCAATATCAATTATTAAAAAGAAATTATTATTTTATTACTAAAAAATATTTAGTGGTTATATATACATATATTTTGATTGAATTGGGTGAGAAAGGGGAAAATAGTGATGTATTCATATAGAAAAATTAGGAAAAATTTCACTATTTTAGTAAAAATATGTTTCCTGCCATACATTTTTCTAATAAGATGATATTATTGAAATGAGTGTGAAAGTCCTGTTTTATAACACAAATTTCTTACTGAATCGCGATGTGAAAAATCTTTGTTTCTAGGAGTGTACCCGCTATGGGGCCGGACTAATTCAGAGTCCGGTATGCAAATTCCACTTTGGGAGTAAAACACTCTCTACGAAAAGCAACTTTATTCTCATAGTTCAAGCTCGAGACACTGATTAAGGAAAATAGAAAAAATGTTAATCTTTGGAATTAATCAAAACCACACCAAAGTCAAATATTGTGTGTGTGTCGAATCTTCAAAAGTAGCGGTCGTTTTTTAATTCAAATAATCCTTCCTCTGCCTTCTGCTCTCGTATCATGTCATGACATGAATCATAAGATGGGAAAGATCAGTAAATCATTGAAATCCGGTGCACTATGCTCCAGTTATGCGGGGGTTCTGGGAAGGATCAGACCACAAGTGTCTATTATATGTAGTCATATCTTACATTTATGCAAAGAGATTGTTTCCACAACTCGAATATGTGCCCAAGAGATCATACCAGTTACACCAAGGCTCCCCTTTAAAAAAGATTCTTCGCGTGATTGACCTATAAAAAAGAACCGCATCTTGAGGAAGTAATTAAGCAAATAAAGATATGCTTTTGCTAACAACTTAACCTTTTAGATGAGATGGTCACATCGCCTATCAACGTACGCCAAAAAGATCACCATTTGCCTCAGAGTCCAAATTTTGACACAGAAAATACAGAGATCAGATCAGGAAACCAGAAGCACTTGAACTTCAAGTTGTTTCATCTTTAGGACAAGATGAGTAACACTAACTCACTCATCAACATCAAGCTTCAGCTTGTGGATCTATAATACAAGAAACATATGTTAAACGTCAAAACTAGAACGAATTAATCGTAAGAGAGTGGCGTATGGTACCTGGATAAGAAGACCACGAGCAAGTTCCCCGGATAGACATTTTGATGTGAATGGCAACCCACAAATGTTGATGGCTCGCGAAAATATAAGCCCTTTACAGACAGACAGATAGACAGATAGATAGACAGAGATAGACCACAATAACAGAAACAGGATCATTTATTTGTCTGCTTAGCAGCTTAGCCACAGCGAACATATATACATTGTTTCCAAAAGACCCTTGGCTCAAGTAACGTATAACAAAGAACATACCTAATTAAAGAAGACATAACATATAGTAGATGATGAAGCATTACAGAACATCTGTTACAAAAAAAGAAGGTGATAACCAAAGCACAAGAAACAATCGGTAGTAACAAAAATCGAAAGACAACTGACAGGGGAAAACTTCCTTTTTCTAAACATGGTGGAGGGGTCAGCTTGCGCGTACATCAGTTGATATCATAGGGTAACTGCTACCTCCCATTCCAACATTTAAGTTTTATAGCTATAGTTAATTACTACAGTCACATAGTCACAATCATGAATCATTATCGCCTATCGTTATTACAATCATCAATCACTATCGATAATTGTCATAACTAGTCATTACTATATATAATTGTTGGTGTTTTTTAAAAATGGGGCAGCACAAAAAGATTGAAAATTTCTCTCAATGGATTGAAATAGCTTTCAATTGATTTCAATAATTTTCTTAAGCATTGAGGGGCTTTATATAGCCAACAAGAAATACATAATTTGCATAATTGGAAATCTAAACAACCTAAAATATCTCAACAACATAAACAAACTAACTAAAATTCAAAATTCAAATTTATTTCAAACTAAATAACTTATTTTGCTAAAAGTTACTGCAGTAACTTAAAGCAAATTTCAACAATAATTAATTGTCGTTATCATTCACTACTATCATTTACTATCCATATCGTCCACTACAATTATTAATTATAACCACCAGTTACTATGATCGACAATTATTATTAATCACTATTGTCAGTCATCGTCATATTTGATCACCCACAACCATCACCATTATCATTATCCTACAACTACCACTTTCTACTGTCATATAATTGTTTTAAAAAAAATTATTGATATAGTATAAATTAATCTGAATTTATTGATTTTAAATAAAAACAAGTTTGTACATTCAGGTGTTGGAAAAAAAAAACTATTTAGTATTCAAATCTTAATATTAAATTTTAATATTCAGCTGTAGAGGTTTAAATTTTAACGAAACAAATGAGGTCTTAAATAAGTTAACCACTTAAAATATAGGAATTACCTCATTTATTTATACGCATTACCTAGAATAAGTCATAAAATGACACACTTGTTCCAATTGAAGTTGATATGTATTATTAAAAAAAGTAATATAGTTTATATGATTCACGTATTTACATAATAGACGCTTGACAACACGCACAAAAACTTTTTCAAATTGATCTCCAAGTTAATAAAGAAATATCTAAGAATGTTAGTAACTAAGTTGGCAAATTCTGACACATCTCAGAACACTAACGCTTTATTTGGAGGGTGGTTAGTTATTATTTCAGAGTATGTATTGTTTTAATGAAACAGTGTGGATAGATTGTATCCTTCTCCCTGTTACATAATAAAATATCATATATTAATAATTTGAATGATAAGTCAAAAAGAAAAGTAAAGTACGAGATAGAAATACTATAAAAAGTACAATAAATGACAAAATAAAATTATTAAATAACAAGTAAAAGACAAAATGAGAAGAAAATATAAAGTAACAATGCAATAACACCAAATCAATCGTTACTTTTCGTCTATGTAATGATAGATTTTAAACGATACAATATAATATAATTTAATTAACAATCAAACATAGTATTTAAACTAGTAATACAATAGGTAACAATCATCCAAACAAGGTGTTAATGTAACCTCCAACCTAGAATATATATTTCTGAATTAGAAGTTAGAAATTGTACATGTTTTTCCTAAGATGTTTGTTGATGAACAATACACAAGACTATAAATACAGATACCTAAGTCACAACTAAAATAAAAACCTGAGCTTCATTCACAATGATGCCCTTTTTCCTTTTACATTTAAACTAAAATTCCTAAAAAAGACTAGAAGAACAAGCCTGTCTACTTGTAGTATGTGAGTTGTAACTGCTCTAAACACATTAGAATAACAATACCTATCCTTCTTCGTCGTAATCTTCCTCTTCCTCGTCTAACCCTTGGTTTAAGTTGGCCAATTGAATTGGATCAATGGCCATCTTTTCCATCTCGGACAGGGACCATCCAGGGATTTCCTCATGCTTCACTTCAGGAGGCGGTGGTGCTGGTGCTGGTGTTGCTGTTGATGACAAAGGAACTTCAGATGGCATTGGTGTGGATTCCACACTCTCATTTAAGTCTATGTTGAGATCGAAGTTTCTAGCAGGAGCGACGACTTCTGGGGAGCATTTAGCAGCTGAAATGTTCTTTGAATCTACTGCTGGTTCTGCTACATAGTCTACCATTCTTTCATCATTTTGTTTTTGCTTCTCATCATCCTTTTGATGTGAAACATCAGCAGCAGGGTCTTCAAGTTTCTCGCTGTGAACATTGGAGTCACCTTTCTCTACTGCTCGTGCACCTCTACCACGGCCTCTGCCCCTACCCCTGCCTCGTCCCCTCCCAGTACCACTGTTGTTTGCAGTCTCATTCTGTGATTTCAACAAAAAAGGCACTATTATACAGGAAGCACAAATACATAGAAGAAATCGGATTACATACAACATTTGATGTAAACAGTTTGTAGCTTGGTCAATGTTTAAACAAATGGGCTATCTATGGAAAACCCAAAATTTAAAGGAATAGTTACTTAACCAGACAAACTAATACACTATTATCAAACACAGCGAGAGTTCAAAAAAGAAAAATCAAACACGCCCTGTATCAGTGATGCAACAGTTTATGAATTTTGATCTGTATCAGTGATACAATAGTTTCTGAAATTCGCTTTGTATCAGTGATGCAATTATTTGCTCTTTATCAGTGATGCAACAATTTGTTCCATATCTTATGTTGTATCACTGATACAGAGTGAATTTCAAAAACACTCTCTGCATTTGGTAATTATCCAAAGTACCGCTACGTTTAGTAATTATGCCTCAACCTATCCCTATTTCTGAAATTTTAATCAAGTTTAAACCCAACATTATCAAAAAGGAATAATCTCCATACCGCATGATTCCTTTTGGCATCATCATCACTGTCATGATCATCTTCTTCAGCAACTTTCCTGAATCAGCAAACAGTCTGCCGTTAATGATACAAATTCACTGCCCCGAAACCCATCACAGGCAAGAAAAAAAAATCATAGGAAGTACAATTTTCTAACCTTCTTTTGGTGGCCGATTCAGCACTAGCATCTGACCCACCTAGATCAGGAACCCGGCTCACTACATCCTTCAGGAAATCAAACACATTAAAGCTCTGGATACAATGTTTCCTGTGAAGTAGAGGGACCAAGTTAGCTGATAACCAGAGACCTAATACAATGTGTAATATCATAACAGTAAATTAAACTTACAAATGGAAAGAATTCATTGTTTTTGCTCCTTTCTTGAGGGTGATCTCATATGTACGGTCACAAAGATCTTGCAGAAAGAGTTCAAGAGCTTTTGCTGAATATAACGTTGACAAACACGAGTTAGGATAAACAAAATGAACCACACAAAAATAGATACCAAGAAGCAAAGGAATGAATACAGGTAAACAGATCTTAAATCAGTTGAACCAAATGCAAAAAGAAATTCATTGAAATATAGGACTTACAGACTAAAAGAGGAACAGCCATCGCAATCTTCCCCACATCCTCATCAGCTTGCATAATCTTTTTAATCCGAGCCTGCAAACAAATGACAATGAGTTATTAGAACAGTTACAATCTTCGATTCAGCAACTTAATCAACAGAGACGATAACTTCATGTAACAATAGTCAATGAGACTAAGCAATTTCATTTCCGTCCAGATGTTAACATACATAACTTCTAAAAGCAATAGCAAGATCTAAATTTCAAATTCCAATCACCATAGTTCTTACCTTGAAACAAACATCAGGACGACATACTGTTAAACCATGAAATATACAGACTGGCAGACCGCACTAAATTACAGGCAATCCACAAAAAAAGGTCAAATACACATTTGTTGCATGCATATGCCCATTTCCCACAATTAGTTTGTATTATAGTATTGGGGAGAGGTCAAGCATTGTCTTATTAACATCACTCTCCTACAATCTTGTTTTTCGATTTTAAGTTTATTATTACTTGTTGTTTCCAATGCTTCAGTTATCGTATTATTTGTTTTTGGCTTATCGCTATTGGCTTTGTCTCATTATTTTTGGCATGGTTCTTCACTACTATATGTCCTTTTCATTCTGATTTTGATATGCTTTACAAGGTAGAAGTAAGGTTACATACACACCACCATCACGGACTCCACTTGTGGGATTACACTGAGTATGTTGTTGTTGCAACTACCAGTTCTAAATTCATGCATACCAAATACCCTCTCCAACCAGGTAAGTACAACTCTTTACAAGCACCCTGAATTAGAAACTTGCTTTAAAAATTAAATCGAAACATCAGACTTTCTCCATGGAACAAAGCTATTTAAATGCACTGCCTACGCGAATTTCAGTCATAGAACTACTTTTACAATTTGTACTAGCTCTGTCTAGGTGAATTTCAGTTATAGAACTAATTTTACAATTTGTACTTACTTTTCCCCAAATTGCCTCTCTACCTTCTCAAAGGTAGAGGTACGGTCTGCATACACTATACCTTCCCTAAACTCCACTTGTGGGATTGCATTGGGTTTGTTATTGTTATTGTTGTTACTTACCTCTGTCCCCCAAAAAAATACTACTTTTTGCAACTTCAAAGAACAGTTTTTGCTCTCAACAAATAAGTAGAAGGTTAAAAAAATGCGGGCAAAGATATGGTCCAGTAACTATCACAAACAACTTACTATATGTTCAAAACATACCACAGAGGACTGACGGCTTAGGCAAGATCAGATTTCTTCGTCTACTATTAAGACCTAACCGCTGGATTTTCAAGAGTAAAAATCCATACTTCATGTACCTCAACTCCAAGAAACAAGAAAACATGAGTTCTCTTTTCTTCTTTCTGCTTTCATTTGTGAGGCACCTCATCTAGTACTCAACCTTAACCTGTTTAATATCCAAACCAAACTAAGCAAATACACAGAGTAACATGAAAAACAAGGCAACTCCCACGAGCCAACCAAGAAGTCATACTCGAGCTCCACCTTTTCAACCAACAATAAAATGGTAGATACCCAAACACATTTTTTTCTTTCTTTAGTGAGGCACCTCATCTAGTACTCAACCTATTTTAACATCCAACCAAACTAAGCAAATACACAGTAACATGAAAACAAGGCAACTCCCAGGATCCAAACAAGAAGTCATACTTTTCAACCAATAATAAAATAAGTACACATCCAAACCCAGCCATACTTTGAACCTTACAAATTTGACCATTTTATTCATTCAATAGCCCTATAACTATCACCCAAACATCAAAGCTCACAGCTTCATTCCCACAAAAAAAAAAACTAAAATGAGAACAAGGCAACTCCCAGGAGCCAAACAAGAAATCATATTCAAGCTACACCTTTTCACCCTACAATGAATACTGAATAGTTGACACACAACTCAGCTATACCTAGAACCTTACAAATTAGACGGTTGTATTCATTCAATTGCCTTATAACTATCACCAAGACATCAAAGCTCAAAGCTTTATCGCCCTCTCCCCCTCCCCACTCCCCACCCCCAAAAAAAAGGAACTTACAAGTCTAAAAAGATCCAAAGTTTCAAATTTACAAGCAACAAATAAATAGTAGACATCCAAACCCAGCCATACCTTGAAACTTAAGAATTCAACGATTCTATTCATTCAATAGCCTTATAACTATCACCAAAACATCAAATCTCAAATCTTTATTCCCACAAAAACAGAACTAAAAGCTCCTAACTTTCAAATTTACAAGAACACCCAAAAACCTATATTTTTAACCAAAACCAAGACCACCCAGGGAAAAGAAAAACCCATTCATACCTTTAACCTTACAAATTTGTCAGTTCTACTCATTCAATAGCCTTATAACTACCACCAAAACATCAAAGCTCAAAGCTTTATCCCACAAAAAGCTCAAAACTGTTTAATAAACCAAAACCAAGAAAACCCCAGTTACTTTTTTCAATTCAACAACCAAAAAAGGGAGAAAAAAACCCATATAGAACATAGAAAATCAAGAACACCCAAAACATAAAAAACCCAAATAAAAAAACTGAATAGAAAGGCGAAAGTGAAACTTACAGCAGGAAATCTGGTATCAAGCCTCTTCCTCATAGCTTCCAACAAATCAAAAACCCCAAATCACTCAAACCCTAGATTTATCAAACTTTTTTTTGCCCCTTTTTCACATATAACCCGTGTTTCTTACTATATATATCTAAAAAAAACTCTTATGAATTTCCCAAGAACCCAAAAAATTCAAAACAAAAATAAAAAATAAAAAATACCCAGACCCAGAAAAATTCTCGAAATCCTTACGTCTTCTTCGGAGAAAAATATAAATATTAAAATAATATTAAAATAAAATTCTTAGCGGGATTCGTTATTCTCGGAGCATCTAATTTATTAACCAATAAAATGCTTCCACGTAGGACTGACTGACACTTACTTTTCGATGATTGGTGAAAAGAAAGAGGTGTAAGTACACATGCGATGTATGGAATAGTTATCACCTTTCTTTTTGTCGTTTTGTGGAGTTTTTTTAATTTTATTTTATTTTTTAATAAATAAAAATGGTGTTTGACTGGTCTCCAGGGTATTTTTATGGCCAGTTTCTACTAGATCCATTGTTTACTTTGATGTGTCCAAAGATCCATCGGTTTCGATTAATTTAGATTCATGATGCTTAATATTTGATCGTAAAGAATATGAGAGAGTTGATTAGATGGTTTATATATATATATATATATATATATTATTTTTTATTTTGATTTCTCATTCGGTGTTTGGTACTTACATTACAATCCGTTTAAATATGAATTCACATCGGAAAGTTGCACATTGAGAGGTAAAGCACTCCCAAATATATAGTATATATTATATATGTTTAGCTCATTAAAGATATGATACTAGACGAGAGAGTGTGAACAGTTTGAATAGACGTTTATGAGTCATGGATTTGAGTAATTTAGATCCGTAATGTGTAATATTTGATCAAAAAAGATTTAGAGAGAGTTGGTTAGATAGTATATCATACATATTTAGGTCATTAAGAACGGAACACTTGATATGAGAGTGTGAAGTTGGGAAAGGCATGATATGGTATATATCGAATTATCATACCATATCGAAACTTTTGATATTGTAATTTTTAATATTATGATAATTGGTATGATATATGGTATACATTTTAATTTACAAGTATATTTTAGTCGATGTTGAACAAACTATGCTAACTGATTTATCATACCACAAAATATCAAAACCAAACTTCAAAATACTGAACAATACCGAATTAAATCAGTTTGGTAATGGTATAATATTTTTAAAAACCGAATATCAAAATTATGGTATCAAAATTTCAAAGGCACCAAATCCATGATCTAACACACACGAAAAATAAAAATAAAATTACATAATTCCTAAAAGTTGGCCCCTAAATGGAAAAATATGTCTTTAAAATGGTGAGACCGTACATAATGCTCCCCCAACTCACTATGGGAGTCCTCATAAAATTTGTTCAAAAGACCTTACAGATGTATAAGGCGCCAATATCCATTTGCTAACACATACGAAAAATAAAATAAGTTGCATAATTCCTAAAAGTTGGCTCATAAATGTAAAAATAAAAATATGCTTTAAAAATAGTGAGATTATATGTAATACTCTCCAACTCATTACAAAAGTCCTTATAAAATTCTTTAAGAAAAACCTTTCATGTGCCATAAGGCGTCAATATCTGCGGGCTAACACACATGAAAAACTAAAAAAATCGCGTAATTCCTAAAAGTTGGCCCTTAAATGCAAAAACATGCCTTAAAAATGGTGAGACTATACATAATGTTCCCCCAACTCATTACGGAGGTCTTCATAAAGTTTTTCAGAAAAACCGCTCAGGCGCCATAAGGTCAATATCCATAGGTTAATACATATGAAAAACCAAAAAAGTCGTGTAATTCCTAAAAGTTAAACCTTAAGTCCAAAAATATGTCTTAGAAATGGTGAGACTATATGTAATGCTCCCACAACTCATTATGGAGGTTCTCATAAAGTTTTTTGCAGAAAAACCTTTCGAGCACCATAAGGCACCAATATCCATGGGATAACAACACGAAAATCAAGAAAGTCGCGTAATTCCTAAAAGTTGGCCCCTAACTGCAAAAATTTGCCTTAAAATGGTGAGACTATACGTAATGCTCCTCCCCCAAGTCATTACGGAGGTCCTCGTAAAGTTTTTTCAAGAAAACCTTTCGGGCGCTTTAAGGCGCCAATATCCATGTGCTAATACGCACGAAAAACCAAGAAAATCACGTCATTTTTTAAAGTTGTCCCCTAAATGCAAAAATTGCCTTAAAATGGTGCGACTATATGTAATGCCCCCCCCCCCCCCAACTCATTATGGAGGTCCTCATAAAGTTTTTTGAGAAAAACCTTTCGGGCGTCATAAGGCGCCAATATCAATGGGCTAACACACACGAAAAAAAGAGAAAGACGCATAATTCCTAAAAGGTTGCGCCAAAATGCAAAAACATGACTTAAAAAAATAGTGAGACTATACGTAATACTCCCACAACTCATTACAGAGGTCCTCGTAAAAAAAATTCAGAAAAACCTATCGGGCGCCATAAGGCGTCAATAACCGTGGGCTAACACACGTGATAAATCAAGAAAAGTTGCGTAATTCCTAAAAGTTGGCCCCTAAAGACAAATATATGCCTTCAAAATGGTGAGACTATATGTAATGTTCCTCCAACTCATTACAGAGGTCCTCATAAAGTTTTTTCAGAAATACCTTCTGAGCGCCATAAGACGCCAATAGTCATCGGCTAACACATACGAAAAACTACAAAAGTCGCATGATCCTTAAAGGTTGGCCTCGAAATGCAAAAATATGCTTTAAAAAATTGTGATACTATACGTAATGCTCCCCAACTCATTACGAAGGTCCTCATAAAGTCTTTTTTCAGAAAATCTTATGGGCGTCATAAAGCGCCAATAGCTATGGCTAACACACACGAAAAATAAAAAAAGTCGTGTAATTCCTAAAAGTTGGCCACTAAATGCAAAAACATGTCTTAAAAATATTGTGAGACTATACATAAAGCTCCCCCAACTCAATATGGAGGTTCTCATAATGTTTTTTCAGAAAAACCTTATGCACTATAAGTTGCCAATATCTATGGGCTAACACACACAAGAAACCAAGAAAGTTGCGTAATTTCTTAAAGTTGACCACCCTTAATGCAAAAATATGCCTTAAAATGGTATGACTATATGTAATGTTCCCCCAACTCATTACAGAGACCCTCATAAAATAAATTCAGAAAAAACTTTCGGACGCCATAAGTTGTCAATATCCATGGGCTAACACACATGACAAATCATGAAAGTCATGTAATTTCTATAAGTTGGCCCTAAAATGCAAATATATGCCTTAAAAATGGTGACACTATACATAATGCTCCCCCAACTCATTACAGATGTCCTTATAAAGTTTTTTCAGAAAAATCATATGGGCGTCATACGGCACCAATATCCATGGGCTAACACACGAAAATTCAAGAAAGTCGCGTAATTCCTAAAAGTTGGCCCCTAAATGCAAAAACATGTCTTAAAATGGTGAGACTAATACGTAATACTTCCATCAACTCATTACGAAGGTCTACATAAAGTTTTTTTCAGAAAAACCTTCCAAGCGCCATAAGGCGCCTATTTCCATGGGCTAACACAAACGAAAAATCAAAAAAGACGCGTAATTCCTAAAAGTTGGTCCCTAAATTCAAAAACACGCCTTAAAAATGGTGAGACTATACGTAATGCTTCCCCAACTCATTACGAATGTCCTCATAAAGTTTTTTCAAAAAAACCTTATAGGCGTCAATATCCATGGACTAACACACATGAAAAAATAAAGAAATCGCATAATTTTTAAAAGTTGGCCCCTAAATGCAAAAATATGCCTTAAAAATGGTCAGACTATATGTAATGTTCACCTAACTCATTACGGATGTACTCATAAAGTTTATTCAGAAAAACCTTCCGAACGCCAATATCAAAGGGATAACACACATGAAAAAACAAAAAAGATGTGTAATTTCTAAAAGGTTGCGCCTAAATGCAAAAACATGCCTTAAAAATTGTGAGACTATATGTAATACTCTCACAACTCATTATAGAGGTCCTTATAAAGTGTTTTTGAAAAACCTTTCGGGCGCCAATATCCATGGCCTAACACACGTGAAAAATCAAGAAAGTCGCGTAATTTCTAAAAGTTGACCCTAAATGCAAATATATGCCTTAAAATGGTGAGACTATATGTAATGCTCCCATGACTCATTACAGAGATCCTCATAAAATATTTTCAAAAAAAAATTTGAGGGCCATAAGGCGCCAATATCCATTGGCTAACACACACGAAAAACCACGAAAGTCGCGTAATTCCTAAAAGTTGGCCCCTAAATGCAAAAACATGCCTTAAAAATGGTGGGACTATACATAATGCTCCCCCAATTCATTACGGAGGTCCTCATAATGTTTTTTCAGAAAATCCTCCCGAGCGCCATAAGGCGCCAATATCCATGGGCTAACACACTCAAAAAACAAAAAAAGTCACGTAATTTCTAAAAGATGTTCCCTAAATGCAAAAATATACCTAAAAATGGTGAGACTATACGTAATGCTCCCCCCAACTCATTACGGAGGTCCTCATAATTGTTTTCAGAAATCCTCCGAGCGCCATAAGGCGCCAATATCCATGGGCTAACACACTCAAAAAACAAAAAAGTCACGTAATTTCTAAAAGATGTTCCCTAAATGCAAAAATATACCTAAAAATGGTGAGACTATACGTAATGCTCCCCCCAACTCATTACGGAGGTCCTCATAAAGTTTTTTCAGAAAGTACTTCTGAGCGCCATATGGTGTCAATATCCATGGGTAAACACATACTAAAAACCAAAAAAGTTGTGTAATTCTAGGAGTTGACCCCTAAATGCAAAAAATTGCTTTAAAAAAGTGGTCAGACTATACGTAATGCCTCTCAACTCATCACGAAAGTCATCATAAAGTTTTTCCAAAAAAACCTTCTAGGCGCCCTAAGACGCCAATATCCATGGCTAACACACACGAAAAAACAAAAAAATTGCGTAATTTTTAAAGTCGGGCTAAATGCAAAAATATGTCTTAAAAATAGTGAGACTATATGTAATGCTCCCCCAACTCATTACGAAGGTCCTCATAATGTTTTTTCAGAAAAACCTTCTAGGCGCCATAAGATGCCAATATCAATCAATATCAATTGGCTAAC